AGGATCGCTTGAGCCCAGGAGTTTGAGGTTGCTGTGAGCTAGGCTGACGCCACGGCACTCTAGCCCGGGCAGAAAGAGTGAGACTCTGTCTCAAAAAAAATAATAATAATAATTTATCTTGTGCTGGCCACTTTATTGTACTATTGTACTGGTGCTAACAGTGTTTAAATTGCTTCTCATGGATTTTCCTCATTGACAATCTTATTATCTAAAAATAATGAAAATTTTATTTCTCCATCCCAATATTTCTTCCTGTCATTTTTCCCCCTTATTATAGTGGCTAGAACTTCTAGTAAGAACAGTGTTAATTTTGTGCCCTCTTGACACTGACTTTAACAGGAAGGCCTCAGGGTGGGCTATTGGTTGAAGTTAAATATTTGAGATATTTCTTATCAAGTATCTTTTAAATGTCTAGTTTAAAGTTGTATTTTTAAACAGAGATGAGTGCTGAATTTTTTCAAGTAGATTTTTAACATTTATGGAGTTGCTCATCTATCTTTCTCCTTTAACCTACTCATGTGAATTGTAGTCATAGATTTGCTAATAACAGACCATTTTTACAATCCCAGAAACACCCTAATTATTCAATGGGTTATTCCTTCAGGACACAGCTAGATTAATTGGGGTTTCTTCGTTCTGAGCTTCTACCCCTTCCTAACAAATGACTGAAATTTATCCCTTTTATTTGTATTTTCTAATAATTACTCTTAATTGTATGACATGCGTACTCAAACTTATGTTTCCTAACATATTGAGTTAATTGGTATCTACAGCTTCCTCTCAATCAAACAAGGATCTTAACATGCGTTTAGAGCATTCTCTCCTTCTCCCCCTACCATCTGCCAATTCCCTAGTTATCATTGGCAGTTTTAGCTCCAGATTTTTATTAAAATTGTTGTCATCAATACTTACTGGTACTTAACAGTAAAATTTTACTACTTTGCTAAGTATTCCTTCTTGCATCCCATTTTTTTTTTGGAGTCAATTTCTTTTCAGAGGAGAGACTCTATCCTCTGGGAATTCAGATATGGATCTGTCTTCCACATCTCTTAGTATTTCTTTTGTATATTCCATCTCTTTGGCCTCCTGTGCCAAAGTGAGTTTTGGGAAAATTCCTCTTCCTGATCGTCACTAGTTTTCTAATCAGTGGTGTCATTTTGCAATTAAACCCATCCAACAAGCTTTCCATTTCAATTATTAAGTTTTTAATTTTCATGATTTCTACTCCATTCTTTTTTTAGAATCTTGCCTCTTTTTGCAGATATCTATTGGTTAGAAATGCCTATTCTGCTCTTTCATTTCTGTTTTTTCGGGCATTAACTTCTGTCAAATCTTGAGTTTGGTCCCTTTCTATCACAGTGTTTGCTTTCTGCAGTGTCATGCTTCTTGATTGTGCAACCCAAATTGTGTTTAGGGCTCCTTGTGAAAGTGTTTGTTGATCTGTTTTTGCAGCCTGTTTGTTAGGACGGTGGATCAAACCAGTATGTACTAATTTTCTACTACTGCTATAACAAATTATCACAAACTTTGTGGCTTAAAATAACATACATTTATTATCTTATGGTTCCATAGGGTAGAAGACTGACAGTTCTTGTTAGGCAAGGAAGGAGTTGTCAAGGCTGCATTCTTTCTGGAGTCTCTAGGGGAAAATCCATTTACTTGCCTTTTTTAAGCTTCTAGAAGCTGCGCATATTCCTTGGCTCATGGCTCCTTCCTTGATCTTCAAAGCTAGCAATTGTGGGTCAAGTCTTTCTCATATCATATTACTCTGACCTCCTTTTCTGCCTTCCTCTTCCCCTTGTAAGGATGCTTGTGATTACATTGGGCCCACCCAAATAATCCAGAATAATCTTCCCATTTTAAGGTCCCCTGGTTAGCAACCCCAATTCCATCTGCACCATTAGCTCCCCTTTTCCATGGAACACAGCATATTCACACGGTCTAGAAAGTGTACATCTTTGGAAGGCTAGTATTCTACCTGTCATAGTCCAATCTCTTTCTGAATTTCAGAGACTTTTCCTGGTTTAAGTTCCCTAAGGTCCTTTTGCGTTTTAA